GCGGTATGGTATGGTGGCGGGGTATTGCGGCGGGCTGTGGCGGCGGTCCTACAAGAAGAAGAAGAAGAAGAAGAAGAAGAAGAAGAAGAAGAAGAAGAAGAAGATGATGATGATGATGAGAGGGGAAGGAGGAGGAGGAGACAAGAGGCGGAAGAATGATCGAAGAAGAAGAAGAAGAAGAAGAAGAAGAAGAAGAAGAAGATGACGATCGGAGCAGTTCTTTTGTTTTTTTTTCTTATCTGTCGTTTATCTCGCAACCTATCGCTAATGAATGTAAAAGAAAAGAAGAAAAAGAAGATAGTCGGAAGAGGAGGAGGAGGAGAGAAGAATAATAAGAAGAAGATGAGGGGGAGGACGATGACGAGAGATGAAGAAGAAGAAGAAAAAGAAGAAGAAGAAGAAGAAGAAGAAGAAGAAGAAGATGAGAGGGGGAGGAGGAGGAGGAGTGAAGAAGTCGTGGAAGAAGAAAAGCAGAAGAGGTAGAAGAAGAAGAAGAAGAAGAAGAAGAAGAAGAAGAAGAAGAAGAAGAGGAGGAGGAGAGAAGAAGAAGCAGAAGAATGAGCGGAGGAGGAGGAGGAGGGAAGAAGAAGAAGAAGAAGAAGAAGAAGAAGAAGAAGAAGAACAGACCGGCACTCCACGTCGACGGGCGGCAGGGGTTGTTGGCAGGCAGGAGCACCGCGATCGATGACGGTGGCGACGGGCCACGGGCGACTCGACGACGACGGGCGAGTGAAGCTCCCAGGCGATGGCGACGAGGGGCAGCTACTTCGACGACGGGCGACGAGGGGCAGCTACTTCGACGACGAACGCAGGTGGCCAGAGCAGGTATTGAGGCCCCGTTTGGACAGCCAATGCACGCCGCCCCAGCCAGTCGCTTGTTCAAATGGGGCCTCCGTTTTCCCTCCAAAAACGAACGGCCCTCTGGCCGTCGATCATGGATGATCTACGGCCAGAGGGCCGTCCCAAATTCAAAAAAAAAAAAACAGGCCTCACGGGCCCGACGCGCCGTTTTCTCGGCGTGGTCGGGCCCGGTAGGCCCTGGGGAGGTAAAATCTCGCCGATTCGGAGTCGGAAACCCCCCGCCAACCAGGTGTGCTGGGGGGGCCCGGCCCCCAACCGGGCCGCCCGCCCGGCCAGGCCGCCCGGGACCTCCCCCGGGCAGGCGCCGGTCGGCCGGGCGGCCCGGATCCGTACGCAGATAAATGCTGAATAAAGAAGAGCACACGTGGGACCAAATGTGTGCCTGGCCTGGAACATGGCCGTGGGCCTCCAGGTCGTTCACTTAAAAATGGGTGTGCAGCCTTGGGGCCTGGAACAACCGCCGGGCCCCAAAACAGGGCCCGTGTAGCGGCCTCAGCATGCTACACATCTTACTCTCACACACACACACACACACAGACAGACAGACAGACAGACAGAGAGAGAGAGAGAGAGAGAGAGAGAGAGAGAGAGAGAGAGAGAGAGAGAGAGAGAGAGAGAGAGAGAGTTGGTTACTATTTCAGGAGTTGCCTCCCAGACTTGGACTCTACTATTATGGGACCTTTGGTGAGAGACTATTGCAGGACTTTTTGCGGGTACATTTGTAATGAACCCACTCTCGTTGAGAAGCCAATCAGCAATGCAATGCAATGCAAGTCTGATACATTTGCAACCTCATCACCATATGACACATCAGCAGTTGACCGTGTAGGCGATATGCCATGTCAGCACGTCAATAGCCCGCCGGGCACATGCTGCCACGTAAGCAATGGATGCCTAACAATAGATGCATGCCACGTCAGCAATGGTGCATGCCATGTCAGCAGTGGAGACTGCTCTGATACCAAATTGCAATGAACCCACTCTAGTTGAGAAGCCAATCAGCAATGCAATGCAAGTCTGAACCCAGCGCACAACATGAGGTCTCCAAAGTCGATTATAAGTCCATACCTTGATATTTTCGGACACATTGTGTCATCACAGAAGAGCATAGAAGAAAGAGACAGAGGAGAGAAAAGACAAAGAAGAGGAAGAGGAGAGTTCCATTAACAATCAATAATACATGTATATCACTCTTCACTCCCACTTCTGCTTCGGGCTTCTCCCCTATCGCCACCTCAGCAAAGCAGGGCTTAGTAGAGTGTGAATCCTTCTCCCACAGTCAACAATGAGCTATGGAGGATGGCGCGGTCCTTCCTCACCTTCGTGGAGACCAGCAGCAGATCATGATGACGCCAGGTAAGTCCAGGTAAGCTTCCTCTCGAACCTCTCATCAGTCTCACAGCCCTGATCCTCCTCCTCGCCCAACCTCATCACCTACTTCTATAGCTATGGCAACTATGGCCGCTCCAACATGTCCTTCCTCTAGGCTGGTGCCTCCAGCAGCATCTGGCGCCAGTAACTCTCACCAGCAGCCTCACGAAGCAGTGCTGGGCCACAAGCCAGCGCAAGGCAGAATGAGCCTCCCCTCGGCCAAACCTCCTTATAGTGTTGACTGGCGTTGACCAGCCAACTCTTGGACTGTGTCGACAGCCGAGATTTTCCTGAAGTCGATGTCCTGGATGCAATGCTGTCCCAGATGTGTCCTGTCCCTGATGGAACTGGAATCTTCTGGAAACCTGCAGACAACCTTTGCTGTGCGTCTGATCTACTGACGTGGTTGACTTACTGGGAGACTTTGACTTTGGGCCTGTATTTCCCGTCCAGGGTCTGACTCTTGATTTTCCAAGAGCCAACTGTACCTCGTGGGGGTACTGGACACAGGTTTTGACTCACAGCCTAGTGCCCCTTGATCCTAGGGACTTCCTCAGTCCGCTAAGCAACTCAGGACGCGACTTTTGACCCCTCCTCCTTGCCTTTGACCAAAAGTTATGACCCTCCCTTTGACTCATGAGGATTCTGAACTGAGTTTATTGCACACTGAGTTGCAGCCTCTTTCTCCTCCTCCTCCTCCTCCTCCTCCTCCTCCTCCTCCTCCTTCTCCTTCTTCTTCTTCTTCTTCTTTCTCTCACATTTGTTTCACTTCCCGCCTCCATCATCGGTGGTGCTTCTCAACATGTGTGTGAGGCAAGGAGGAATCTTCTTCCATCTATGTACCCTCCTTGCCTATTTCATGACTCATGATGTATGCGCGTGCTGAGTCCAGAGTCTGATGAGTCAGATTGGTGTGTGTTTTCAGTCTTTTGGTGCTTGCGTTGTCGTTTTTCCGCACTTTGGTGATTCCTTGGTTCTGTGCCACGCCTATCTGATGAGAGGCATGCGACACATTGACACATTACAAACGGATTATGGAACAGAAATCAAGAGCAAGTGGAGGATTACAGCCATGCCACCCAAATTGATTCCTGACCATAACACAGAGCTTCCTTAAGGACTGGCTAGGTGATGGAAAATACAGCAGATGACAAGGAGGCTAATTAAGTTGGCAGATGATGACTTCAAGGAGGGAAGGGCCCAACAGGATGGATTGCCAGAAAAGTGAGTAAACTAAGTTCTTCAGGTGCAAGCTCTCACTTCCCTGGATTCTTCATTGTGGACCAGGTCGCGGGAGCTATGGCACTCCACGGTCGCAGGTAAGTCCCTTCGCTGCCAAGGCGCCAGCTTGTTACCTGCAGGTTAGGCCTGAGGCCCTCCCAGCTTCCCATCTCTTCCTCTCCTCCCCTCTCCATCTCCATCTCCATCTTCATCTTCATCTTCGTCTTCTACTATTCCTCTTCTTCTTCTTCAGACTTCATCTTCCTCTTCTTATTCAGATTGGAGACTTTGCTACAAGTTGGACAGAGATCAGTGTTCGGACTTCGGTGGTAAGAGGCTGTGATACTTACCGGATTTGAGACTTGGAGATAGTTGGGATTGGTACTCGGCGGCATCACAGATTGGACACCGGTTACATTAAGACTCTGTACCTCCGACATTGGTGACCTATTGTCCACGACATTCTGATCTTGTTCGATGACATTTTGGACTACCATATCGGTGACCTACTAGATTCTATCTCGGTGACATCTGGCGCTGCCTACACCTTCCACCTCCTTCGTCTCTCCTCCCACCTTTCATCTGTGTATGGTTGTACGGGGCCTGAGCATCATCTGTGATTGGCTCAGACCCCACCATCTCACGATTTTTTGTGTGTTGAGTGATATCTGTATGAGTTCAGTCTATGTGAGTCAGTCCATTTCTCAGACTTTCCCTGCATACATGCTCATCCGATATTGGTTGATCTTTGGTTCTGCTCATACTTGTTGAAGTATTCACTAGTATGCAACAATAGATCACACGTATCAATGGCGAAAAAATCCAGGGATGTGGGACCTTGCCCCCAAACTTTTGAAAGCTAAATGGAATTCTTCAGGGCTTTTGCGAGCTCAAGCAATCAGCATATGGGCATCAGACATACTCAAGGGCAAGCCCATAGTGTGAAAAGCCTGCCGTGTCCGTGCTCTCTCCTGTTGACAAGTACTCCGCCTGCAAATGACAGACAGAAGATGAGAACCAGTCATGTGAGAACATCCATACCGGACTGTCACGCCTCAGAATAGAATGCAGCCATGAAGAGAAGTTCTTTTTTCCTTTTCTGAAGCCATACCAACACCATTTGACCAAGTGGAAAGCCCAAAATAAGGTGCCAGAGAATGCAAAGCAGGCATAGAAAAGGGGTTTTCTGGTCATATTGTATGGCATCAAAGACTAGGAGGGGAGAATGGATGCCTCGTATCAGGACACGATTATCCACCTCATGTTGGATCTACCAACATAGAACATTGAATACAATGACGGGGTGGACCACTCACTGGGTATCTGGGGGTAGAACGGGGGGTCCCCGCTCTACGGGTAGAGCGGCGCTTTAACTCCGCTCAACCCCCGTCCTACCCCCAGTTCGACGGGGTTGAGTGCCCCCTGCCAAACAGCGCCGCGACCAGGTGGGGGAGGGGGGGGGACCGCGTTCCAGTGGCGTGGGAGGGTGGCCCCGGCAGTCAGGGACTCCCCTGCGCTGCCATTTTTTTTTTCAATTTTTTTTGGAAAAATAAAAACCATGTGGGGGTGCGAAATGGCAGGCCAGCCGTCAGACCCTTTTGGGGGACCGACGGCTAGAGGGAACCGCTCAGGCGCACACACACACAAACAGAGAGAGAGAGAGAGAGAGAGAGAGAGAGAGAGAGAGAGAGAGAG